TATAATCATTTGCAAAATTAAAATAACTGTCAAAATTTTCCGTAACAAGCTAAATGCACAACCAAGCAAAGCTCAGCAGCACTACGAAATGTTGGTAATTGCATTAATTGATGCATCTACATAATTCCTCTTACAAAAAAATACAGCTTCCTACAATATACAAAGGCCAAGTGGACAAAGCATAATGTGAAATAATTGCAAGGGCATAAACTGGACTGAAAGTAACCCTCTGATGCTCTGCAACATCAAAGTTCCGTAGATTGAAGGGGATAATAGCTCTATTGACTATTATACATATTCATCTATACCCACCCGTATTGAAAATTATATGATAGGAAAGTATGCCACATCATCAATGGGAATAATTTCTTCAAAATCTGGCAATGGTAAGGAACTTTCTCTTTACCTTAATTTCCCATTACAGAGGTTCAAGGGATCCACTTTTCAGTCTTTCCATCCGTGCTTGAAGCCCAGACAGTGCTTTCTCATCCAAAGGAAGTACTCCACCTTGCAAAGTATTCTCAGTACCAACATGCTCTGATACATGAGGAATCTGACTAGGATGAAGTCCATGATTCAAGTTGTCGTTAACACTTGTCAATGGCCTAGCACCAGAATCTGTAACCCCAACAGCTGCTGCTAATTGCATGCTCTTCATTCTCTCTCTGATTGCATCCAATGTTCCACTGGTTACTACAGTTCAAATGTGATTTCTCGAGTCAACATTCTTTTGAACTTAAAATAAGTGCAAAACAAACAAAACAACATTACCATACCTCCGGTCATAAATCTTTCATTTCTTTGGTCACCTAAAGTGTAGTCAGAACTTAATGCTCTCGAGGTAATAGCATTAATAGCTCTATTCTCTTCATTGTATGATGGAGGTAAATTGAAATTAGTTGGTTCAGGTCTCACATTTAATTTAGCGTCACCCAGGGGATTTGCATTTACAGGAGAAAGAGGTGCAAAATCAGGGGAAGATATATTTAAAGATACAGGTGGAGGAGTAGACATTGGCAAACTTGAAGGAGTTCTTCCAGCTGCAGTGTTTTTCTCCATCTGCCAAAATGTGAAAATCAATTGCCAATTCTCAAACACTCGCAATCATGTATGTAGAAAAACACAATGCAAGTTCAATTAAGCACACAATTAGTATACAATTATACAAGTAATTTAATTCAACCTGGGCAAGACCATCTCTGATGTAGGTGCGAAATGCCTCACTAGCATTTTGAAGCTGAGCAAATATGTCAACCTAAGATAAAGCGCAAGAACCTTAATCAAATAAGCAAAAAGGAGGATATAGGCTAAAGGTTTATTAACCATTGCATATTATCTAAAAACAACATAATACTTGAATAAATACTTAATTCTTACCTTCGGGTACAATTGGGTAATCCGATATAGTTCTCGTAGACCAATTGTGCAAGTTTGCTTCTCCCCAATCTTTTTAAATATTGCAGCCAACTCTCGCTGCAATTTATTTTCGAGGATGGAAATAAAGAAAACAACAAAGGTAAAAAGGGCATTAAAGTTGCAGAAAAAAGTAGGATATTAGGACATAATAACACAGTAAAAACTGAATACAAATTAGACAAGAAGATCACCACATACAGCTTTAAGACCCAAAATGATGAGAAATAAAGCATAATGATACCTTCAACTGGGCATCATCTGAATGAGTGCCAGAGGCTGAATTATTGGTTGCTGAATCACCCCAATGGTTTTGTCCCGCGGGTCCAGATGCAGTCAACATTCTTGCAGCAGCTAAAGTCTGAAGATCAAAAGCGAGAATAAATAAAATATAAATAATTCTTCCCCCAATAAAACAAAATAAAATAATGTTTTAATGCATACCTCAAGATTAAGTTCAATGTAGGCAAGGATGATGGGTTGAGGTTTCGTATCGATAGGAACCATTGAAAGATGACCCTTTATTGCAGCACCACGAAGCTTGACAAGCTCATGCAGAACAGTTTTCACCATACGCAAGGGTTTGTCATCAGCACCAGCCCTATAAAAATGAAACATTGGTTATTGAAAATTAAGTGATTCTCGTTAAATAGCAAACAAATAGTAGTAACTCTATCCAACAATAGTTATATACCTTCTCCTAATTTCCTCCATCCCCAAGTCTTGCAGGTATAAATGGATGCTTTGAAGTATGCGATCAAGGTCAACATCATAGATGGTGCTCTGAAGAACCTGCAGCACAAAAAAATATATGTGAAGACTGAACAACAAAACTTTGATGAACAAATCTATCCAGATAGAATTTTGCAAACTTTGCTTCTTGACCATGAAAAGTAAAATTACATTTCTGCAATTACTTAAGCCCAATTTTATAGTCCTCCAATACATGGCTAAATATTAATAGAACCAAGTATTACAAGTCCAATAGATTGGCTAATAATTTAATATCCAATAGATATCCATTATATATTTTGGCTGGTTCATTAATCATGCACTAACTAAAACTTCAAATCAATTCAATCGATTA